TAGGGTTCAGGGTTTAGGGCTGATACTGATACTTTAGCTCCCAATATAGAGTAAGAATACCTCTCACTTTGAGTTATAGTATGTGATATGAGATATATCATCTTATTTGGTTCAACCACCAAAAATCGATACTCACCTGGAAGGATGGGGCATGAAGGGTAGAGGGTTAAGGCCATATTCTGGTGTATAGGGCTCAGAGTATAGGCGTTTGAAAGGGTGGAGGGTTTAGGACATAGAGCTTACGGTTTGGGATGATGGAGAACACAGGGTGTAGGTGGGTTTAGGATTTAAGGTCAAGGGTTTGTCAGGCCTTCTTCTCTTCAAAATGCAAACATTCATGAGGCCGTTCGAAACGGAACGGCAATTTAGGTTGCAATTTCAGAAAATTCCTGCTTTCCTCGTTATTGTAAAAGAAAGAAAGCACCTCTTCATAAATACATTTGGAGGCCTTCAAAGTACCAACCAGTGCTGTATACGGGTCTCTGAAGGAACAGCTGTAGTTGCTCGCTGACGGGCTCCTTAAGTAGGATGTCTACGTGGGGGCTGCAGGACTTACTCTGCTTCTATCGCTGGCATACCGGTTTCCACCTTAGGTTCAAGTACAGCTGTATCCAAGAACAGAATTGCATTTGAGTTTTCCTTGCATTTGACAACGCTGCATGCATATAGGCTACTGGTTCGTCCGAGGGGGTGGCCGGGGTATTCTTCAGATTATTCTTGCAATTTGCATTAATTCATGGGGCGAGGTGGACGTCCACTGCTTTGTTCAGGCAAATGCGCTATGTTCGTCCCGCAATGAATTCGGAAAGCTTGTTGCAGCCTCCAACTTGACTTGATTACCAGCTTTATCAGCTTTCGACATTATACTTGGAACTCAGAGCAGGCTTCCATCAGCACAAAAACAATATGGTGCCCGCAAATGCGTCATGGTTGACAAGGCTTGTGCTATGACGACCCTGCCAACCACGAAATTCTGCCAGCGCAAGTCAACAGTTTTGTAATGAGTAGGAGTACCAGTAATAGGCAGAGAAGCATGGTTAGTAGGAACGAGACTAACAATAATACCATCCCTCAAACAAGCAAGCATGGCGACTGCGAAGAGATGGCTGCTGGCAGGATGAACGTGTGCCCACCGCAATTGTTGCCAGAACACGGTTTTGAGCACAACCGTGATGAGGGTGACATGAAAGCTGCCAAGCCCGACCTGGGAGAGTCGGATAGTAATCGCAATAGAGAAGTACTCGCAATAGAGAAGTACTATTGCTTGCAATATCAACAGTGATAGGAGTGTCAGCAATCTATTCCCTGCCCTCCACCACAGTGCGAACACTGTTCGATAATTTTGTTCCATAGGAACCTTCAGATACCCGAACTTCCTCACATGACTCCTTGCTCCCCAGTATACAACTTCCCCCCAAATTTACATGCAAGCCCAATAAGTGCACTGCCAAACAATTGTCCCTCCAAAATGGGGCTATATCAGCTTCCATGTGTGTTTAGGAGAATAGTATTGCCATCTCCATTACCGTGAGTTCGAATAGTCTACGTCATCCTTTCTGTTGCTTATCATAGTAAGAATAGTAACAGTAGTAATATTCATATAGCACTAGTAATTGTCGCAATAGCAATAGAAATAAGAGCAATAGTGCTGTCAGGTCTTGGTGGATAGCGTTATTGGAGATCTATCCGCAGATGGCAAGAGCAACCTCACGGCACGCCCAGGGTGGGGAAGTAGGTGGGATTTTTACCCTCCGCAAGCCAACATGGAACCCCATATTGCCCCTTTTTTTAAAGATGGTAGTCTACGAGGGACCCTTTTCAGCTTCCGTGTCAGTTTGGGGAGGGTAGGTTTCAGGCTTCAGCAGCCTATCTGGGGTGGATCTTAAAAAAATTTGAGGTTGTTGTTCATATGTTCCCAACGAGCAGCTACAAGAATCTGTCACAGTCAGAAGAGGTACTCGCTTTCCCGAATTGTTAAACACGACCATATCCTTCCGGAGACTGCACTGCCCAAGGCTAGTAGATGCCCCACAATACCTAGATGGCAGAGACGCAGAGAATGAGCGGATCATGGAGTCAGGTACAGAGTGGAGGGGCTCAAAGCTTTAAAGAGAGTGCAGTTGGAGAGGGGCAATCAGCTCGCGATTCCAGATGATTCCAGTAGGGGAATTTGTTGTCGAATCCGACATGGTCGCTTTGACCAGAGCCTTCTGAATGTTGTCCAGGCACTCGTGAATTTTGGGCTCGCAAGAACAACCCTTGGACACTGAAGCCCTCCCTCGTCCTGAGATGAAAGCATTTGTACCCCACACCATCCCCTTTTGGGAGTCCCCATTATTCATAATAGTGATTATAGTATATTGGGATCTAGATTGCGTCGCCATATTTAGGGAAGTACCACACATCCTAAGTCTGACCCCCTCAAATTTACACTTCGAGCAATCCCGCTACTCTCGCACAAATGCTGTACAGTCTCCGTTGAAAGAAAGCTAAACCCGAAACCGATTTTCGCTCATCTGATCTTTTCCGCCTTCGCAGGTGCAGCGCCTGCGGTCCCCTCAGAACAGGCTTGCCTGCAGCATTTGAAAGGGCCAAACTCCATGACCCTGTCAGGCTCAAAGATGGATGCCCCGAGTAACTAAAAACCGTACTCCTGAAAAGGGGTGAGGTTGATTTATTTGAGCTCCATCTTGCTGAGCCCCTGCAGGGTTTGAAAAATGTATGGTTGAGGTGGGATGAAGGGAGTAAGGTTTGAGGTCAAGATTGAGGCCTTACGACCAAGCCTCCTCCCCTGGACAATTTTGTGCAGGGACGCCAAAACTCCTTTATGATCCCTACATATCCGTAAGCTTTCTCAAAGTACCGTCATGTTGAGCACTTCAGCTTCAGTCGATTTTGATTTGCTTCTGTAAGCCACTCAGAAATGTGAAATGTAGGGATCTGGATCATTCCCGATGTCGTGGTCCTAGATTCCTTGTACAATTATGGTATAGGGTGCCTATGGGTACCTAAAATAGATCTGGAAGTGATATGGGTGCATTTTTCAGGTCCCTGAAGTAGATGGTTCCGCGGAGTCCATCTGGCAGTTTCCAAAAACTAGGGGTCCTCTCCCGGAAATCCTGAAGCTCAGAATCTCGATATGTTTAAGGTATAGAAGGGAACTCCTGTAGTTTTGTAAATGTCCGTATAATATGGTTTTAGGATCCTACTTGGAGTTTTCACAGGGACTTCAGAAGCCCTACGAGCGCAAGTAAGAAGATTTTACATGTAGGAAACTTGGTGTTGTCTGGTACTTTGGGGAATATTGAGAGGTGTTTATTGATTGTTGTTTGTCGTTCGGGTCCGGGCTCCTCTATCCATAGCTTTCTGTCCAATCAATGTTGTAGACTTAAGTACGTGCCACCCTGGAATCTGCCTTGCCCAAACCAAAACGGAGAAAGACTGTCGTCCCTCCACGTGGCAGCTGTGTGAGGTTCCCTGCTCATATGGGGGTAAAGCTATGCTTGGTGGCTTCCAAACAGAGTTGATAGTTTCCAAAAGCCCAAATGTAACCATGACTATAGCACATTGGGGTCTATAATTGGAGACCCTGCCCTCGAAAACCCTCTAAAACCCATACATAATCCCAATCTCGACTTACTTGATTTTCCACTTTCTTCTCCATGGGAGTTTCTAGCGATCGTCGGGTAACAAGCCCTGAACATTCTCTTTTTCCTTTAGTTTGCATTAGATTTTCAATTAGTTGGTAACATCCCTCGGCCACCCTATGTCGGATTTAGTAGATTCTCCATTGCTCCCTGGCCCCTACTTGGGAGAATGTGCCTAAACGGTATATCATTTTTACATGATGCCTGCATAACCCCTATGTGGTTATTGAGGCCCCACCTTAAACCTTAAAACCAAAACTTAAACCCTAAACCCTAATAATGCAGATTTCTGTAGTTTTTCTTTGTGCAGGTCGCATCTCTTCCTTGCGGACGATGCCAACATCACTGTGCAGTCAGGCCAGCTTTCAGTCTGTTTGGGAAGTTTACTTACCGAGGGTTAGTAGGGAATATGGGAGTATATTGTGTAGGGATTATATTCCCTCATTCCCTACTAACCCCCAGTAAGTGTGGGGATGAGGGTGTGTAATTTGGATTGAGGGTTTAGTGAGGCTTTGGGGTACAGGAGCGTCTTGCTGAAAACCTTGGTATTGCTGGTGGGCCCATGCTCCCGTTATCTGTTACTTAGCTACTTTTCCTGGTTTTGTTAGCAGCAGGCGTGTTGTATCACCCGTCAGCATGTGTAGCGCAGATACGCTTAGCAAGATCTAGAGTTTGGGGCGTTCCGGGTTGGGGTTTAGGGTTGAGGAGTTTCGGGTAAACAGGTTTGGTATGGGGTTGGGGATTCTACGATCACGGGTTTCAGGAACTCCTGCAATGGCAGGTTCCCTTCGAGCCTTTGAGTAGGCCAATCAGCCCTCGATGAGAATCTGGAGCCGCAAATGTTCTTGCCCCGTTTCTTGGGTGGCCACCCTCCATGAGGTGAAATTTCATCCACTTCTCCCAAGTAGACCGGGAATAACACAACACAATGGGGTGGGGGATTTACATGGTTAGGCATGCCTGGTACCTGAAAGGCGACGTCTGCAGTGCATCGGACCAACAGAATTAAACAGCTCAGGCGCTGTAGTGAGCTATTGGTCCCCCTGTGCCCCCCTTATTATGTAGATAGAATATGGGGTCTATGGGGATCTTAACATGATATTGGGTTTAGGGTTTAGGGGGGTTTGTGGGGATCTTAGTTTAATTTTGGGCAAGTTCCATATTCTATCTAGTTTCGGGGGACTATACCTAATTACTGGACCTGGTACGCGATTCACCCAGTCTGCTTAGCTTCTCCCTTAGATTCCCGAAAGCTAACGATACTGCCGAAGCAGCCAGCAAGGCACGCTCTACTACACCGCATGTGTGGATTTTTGGTGCCATGACCCCTGCAAACAAGTCCGCCCCAGACCCCTCACAAGTGCCAATTTGCAGGCGTCATTGGGGATGCCTTTGTGCAGGCCGAGTGGACAGGGAGAGTTACGGAACCCCCTATCTTAACTTTGATTGTTTGGTTCATGGCAGTTTCAAAAGTTCACAATGCCTCGCACAGTGTATGTGACGGGTGAGACGGCGTGCTTTGTGCTTTGGTTTTACGTTGTGTTAAGGATTTGGAGGGTTGAGAGCTTTGAATAGAGGATCTCGACGGTCAGAAAAAGTATCTACGGAAGTGATGCTGAATCCGAGTTACTGTTTAGAACGAGGCTTGAAAGCTGAGCATATCCTTTGCAGGGACGGCCGTATACCCTCCGTTTCTACTCTGGAAGAATGATTACGGGACCTGCTTAAGGGAGAGTGGCGTCCGGAATCGTCTTCTTCATGACAGCCACAACAGCCAACACGGATCTTAGGGTAAAACTGAGATGGAACTGTCGTTAATTGAAGTAGCAACTCGACTCAGTAGAGGGATTGTCTGCGTATGTCCACTTTGCGTAATACCTTCAGGTTTTAAACGGCAGCAGATCCTACAGAAACCCTCCATACTTCCGACTTGACAGGCTTAGAGCTGACGATAGGGTGCGTTCAGAACCACACTGAATAGCTTCAGATTTCGTGGCTTCCAAAAGAACAGGCATCCCCTTTTTTCGGAGCCCCTAGACTAAGAAAGATGGATTTGGTGGTGTTCAAAGGGGGGACCCTGCTTTTGGAAATGGCGCGTCTACAAGTGGGTCAACGTACCACCCTGGCCAGTACCAACACAATGTTTCAGCGCTGGCACGATCCCCACACTTGACATCCTGCATCCCAATTCCGCGCCTCCCAGACTTCAGAAAACCGCAGCAAGAGAGAAAGAACAGAAATCCCTTGTGGTCCCTGTACTGAGGTGGGTATTACCTGAACCTAAATTCTCCCTGGTGCAGGAGTCGTACATGGGAATTTCGTAAGAACTGTTATGATAGCTCTCCAAATGTTTGGTCCCTGGTGAAACACAGGCCTGTACATAGGTTCCGTGAGAGCATTTTAGGCAAATTCCTTCATGCTCAGTGAACTTCTCTGCGAGCTTCTCAAAATCATCCCTACATAATCCTGAAGGGAGACCTTGCCATCTCCACAGAATCCCCATAGATCCTCAAGGCCAAACCAATCCTATCCCCTAAACCCTTGACCCCCAAACCCTAAACCGTAAACCCCTAAACCCTAAACCTAAACACACCCCTAACCCCCTAACCCGCAACCCGAAACCCCTAACCCCCAGACCCTAAACTTCTACCCCTGCAGCAAACTCCTTACTAAAGGCTGGGCATGGAGCCGTTGTGGACCTGCGGGGCTGTGACGTGGAAGCTGCCCTCAGCATCAAGGCCCTTTTCAGGGTTCAGGGTTTAGGGTCTATAGGGTTTAGGGTCTGTTGAGAGCCATGTAGCAGTGTATAGCACAGGCCAACCGCGAAGTGCAGTCAGCTTTGAAGTTGTTCATTCTGCAGGGACCACGGGCTTCAAGCCGCAGGTCCGCAGAGCACGAAATGAAGCAGCTCTCATGGCAGCAAGTGACCGTTGCTGTGATGTCAGGGTGGCAGCTGCGGAAGCTGCATAAACCCATTGCCTGCACAAAGGCAGAACAAACACCTGCACTAGGTTCTAAACAGGGTCTTTGGGGTTTAGGGTTTTAAGGTGGACGGGGGGCTTGGAATTTCAGGCTTGATTTAGGATGGGCCATCGGACTAGGAGCTTTTGCAGCTTATGCACTTTGGAAGAATGTTGGCAATTTTCTTTGGCTTGAAAGTCCAAACGCTCTTGCAGTCAGGTGCAGGTCCCTTCTTGCGCTCTTTTGCCTGAACTGATTTGGGGGCTTCCCAAAATTAAGGTGCCCTTAGAAGAAACATTGTAGTATGTTTGGGTCGATATTGGGGTCCCCTTACTTGGAGAAACTGCCATTTCAAGCACTGGGGCATTATGCTTTGAGCTCAGATGGGATTGCAAGGCGTGTCAACAAGTCAACAATCGCCTTCCTTCTTGATGTGGGCCTCGACACTTTACTCCTGTTCCGGGTCTGCACGCGCGACAAGAATTCACTTCTACTTACGGGAGGTGAGTAGGAAATAAGGGAATATATAGAAATATATTTGGTACCCGTATTCCCTACTAACCACCAGTAAGTCTAGAATTTTGCTGCAACAGTTGCAGTAGCTCGGGGTCTCGGCGTCAAAGTCCGTACTCTGAGTGATAGGTCTTTTTTTGGCCCCTGGAACATTGAGCAGCACGACTTTGAAAGAATCCACAAGGGGACCTTCTGCCCGCATATCAATTGAAATGTAAGCCTTAAACCATGAAGCTATGGCCTTAAGTATCTGAGCGTATTTTGGCAACAATGAATATGGTAGTTTCCCATCATAGGGGACCTGAATATAGGCCCGAATATATTATGATCCTTATTATTTTGACCCCCCAAGAAGTACCCCTACTTTTGGGAAAGCCCCATATAGGCAAGCAAGCTCCCAAGTCATCCAACGCCAGGTGGATGGGAGCTCATCCGTACTCTTGAAGGCCACCCGGCCGCATGAAGCCTTCAGGCGAGAACAGGTAGCAGCAATTGATCAGCATTTTGCAACTGGGGTGTCGTATAGATGAGATTACAGATTCCCACTTGCCGCATCCTTGTTACACATTGCAAGAAGAGTCATCTGGGCTAGTGCGCCCTCTACAGGCAAGCTTTTCCTGAGCTTTGGATGTTAAGCCGGTCTGATTGTGCAAGCAGATCGAAAGTCTTACCAATTTTCATTCCATGCTGCATGGTCTTTTTACTTGTCGCTCGTCCTGAAACCTTACGCAGACCCAAATGACCACAAGATTGCATGCCCTTTTTTGTCATGGAAAGTCAGCTGGTCCACGGGACCAACTCCGGCATTAACTTCTCAGTCTTGATCTGTTTCTTAGCGCATGGGGTCTTATGTTGTTGTCAAGCAAATGTCTTGTTCTGTTTGATGGGATTTGCCACTCTATTTTCCCTCAGTTCTGTTGAGAACATCCCAGGCTGGTGTGGACGGGGCGCGTACAAACGCCACGGCGGGCAATGGGCGCGTTTGAGCTATAGTCTAAACGCCTTAGAGGGGGCGCTATATATGGGAGCTCAAAAAGGAGCCAGCATGGGTTTTTCAATCCGCAGGACTGTAGACCGTATCCCGATTTTAGGACATGGATCTTACAGAAGCTCCTTACGTGAGCTGTTCGGAGAACGATGCTGCGTGTAGGATTTCAAGCCGAAGCAGCGGTATCATGCTGTATCTTAATGGCTGGGAATCTAAGGAACAACAGTGCTGTTTCAAAGAAAGGTTTCTTCGGTACCGGCTACAAGTGGTTCATGTGATTTTTCGTTGCATGGCCTGTGCCCCCAAACGTGGCGCCCCTGGGACATTTTGATTGCTGTCCGACTGGTTGCTCTGGTGGCGACTCGAAAATAACTTTGTCGTGGTATGTTTCAGGATACGAACTGCGTATGCAGAAATCATCCCAGTTTGCAGAAATGGATCCTTCATTCCTTAGGAACGAAGACAAAACAAGACACTGAGTTCTGTATCTCTGACCCAGACCCCCGGAACGATCTTAAAACTAGATCTCCGAGCGAAACCCATAAACTACCTACTTCCCAATAACTCGAGGCATCTAATGGTTTTATCTCTTTGGGGGTCCAAGCTGCCTCACCACAAGCCAGGTGAACCTTACGGTCAGGAACGCGACCTCAAGCAACAGCTCCTCGAAGCCTTCGAACGCCAGCACGGTGCAGGCCCAAGTTATGATGTTAGGGTCCAGGGCTTGGGATTTCAGGTGTAGTTTTTAGGTTGGAGAATTTAGAGTTTAGGTGTAGGGCTCAGGGTTTGGGGCGTTTGAAGGTTTAGGGCATGGCTTCAGGGATTAGGGTGCACATTTGGGGTTTGGAGCCAGTATCCTTTGTGGCGAAAAAGTGTTGATTTATGGTAGGGGCATTATATGTTTTGCACATGAACCAATGGCTGTCAGAATCGTGGCCCACTTCAGACTTTGGGAAACCGACATACAACTACTCTGAATACGACAGTAAGGACATTCCGGGGATCACTGAAGTCCAAATTGGTTCCATTGTTTTCACTGGGCTTCATCAGAAAAGATAGACGTGCCAGGAAGGGCGGAATCCTTCTTGAATTTAGGGTTTAGGTTTTTATGGACCTTTCCAGATTTCTGGGAATCCTGATTGAATTTCAGCTTGTTTTGGTAGAGTCACGATTGCCATGCACCAATATACTTTTTGGATCATCCCAGTAAGTTCATATGACCCTCTGTCATCTGTCATAAAAAACCCTACTTAGCACTTCTTAAAAACTGTTCTTTGAGCCCATTCAGAATTTAGCCCAAAGTATATACACTACTACATACACCCTACTTTCCCGTAAAGTAGATACAGTACTACCCAGCACTTCGGGAGCCCAACATGGTGCCTATGAAGCTCAGGCGACCAGTACCTTCAGGGACTCAACCAACAGCACTACAAAGGCTTCAAGTGCCAGCATGGTGCAGGCCGCCTCCAAAGTAAAGTGGGTTTCACATAGGTATCTAGGGAGATATAGGGTTTAGGGCGTAGGGATATGATCTCAATAGTGGAGAATCCAACGAAAAACGGAAAATCAAATGGAAACTTACTTTTTTGTTAGGGCGTTTTTTTTTGGGCTGCTCTGAGGGATTTTGATGTCGCAGAGGGTGGAAGAACTAGGGGCTTAAGCTAGGTCAAGCTTGACATGCGGCTTGCAAGGACCAAGCTTTCCAGTCGTGAAATTCAGGTAGGCATGCTTGCCATCCGGCTCCTGGCTCCCGAGCTGTGGTAATCAGATGGCTCAAAAGGTGAGGTAAAGGAAGTTTGGGCATAGGAAGGAAGCCCCAACATAATGGAATCCATAATCGGGATCCTTTAACCCACCTACCTTCATCCCACCTTTTGAGCCCCCTGAGGTAAAGTTGCGTGAAAATTCCGCTGGGTGTAGGTAGCCTTGTGCCGA